GTCGATATAAATAGCTACATCGGTTTTATTTTATTTTGAATTCTTGAAAAGAACTAGTAGCTCGTACTTTTAAAAAGAACCGGCCACCCGTTCAACAGGAACTGAACTAGTGACCAGTTCTTACGAAGTATAGAAATTGCAATGGTCGCACCTCGACATTAATCTGTTGATGTGAAATGGTGAGCGAAAGTCGTCTAATGGTTTGTTTTGAACGGTTAAAAAGTTAGAATTTTCGGCATGGGCTTTTAGTCGGACCGTTCAAAGTACTGTTTTCCAATTCAGCATTAAAAGTTGAATTAAAAGCTGATATTCACAGTGCATCCACGAGTGCCACAAGTCTCTTCTTGTTTTTTGATGGAGCCGTTGTATTAATAGCATTGTATCCGCCGTGAGCTTAGCTTTAAAACTGTATGTTTGTTTTTTTAAAATTACGTGTTCTTGCTAGGAAAAATTGATTTTTACTAAATCAGAGGCGAAAAAGTCGGAATTCTGCCCGTAATTTTCAGTTTTGTCCGTCAGAACTCAACTTTTAAGCAATCAAAATATCATATTCGGAATCAGGATAAAACAATGAACCGACTCATGTGTATTTCTATCCTATTCGACTACTAGTTTTTCTGCGAACTTTCCCCTTGAAAAATTACCTGGTTTTTCGGCAAAAGCTAAAAACCAGCTAATAATTTCGAAATATACCTCGATCGATTCATTTTATTTAGATATTTTTATTGTTAAAAAGTTGTGTTCTGATCGAGAAAATTTAGAATTACGGGCAGAATGTCGACTTTTGCGCATCTGATTTAGAAAAATGAATATTCTCGGCAATAAAACAAAATATTTTTTTAGCTAAAACAAACATTAAAGAAGCTGAACATTATTTAAAGCTAAGCTCCCGGCGGATACAATGCTGTTAATACGACAGTTCCATCCCTTGACAAAAAAAGCTAAATAGCCTTATAAAATGACTCATATTCTCTGCCAATGGCCCATTCGAACGTCAATTTTTACCTTCGAAATTGACTTAATACTGTTTTTTAATTCAGCTTTTAATGCTGATTTGTTTAAACCTGAAATGATACCTACCGGTTGTGTACATATTGATTTACCCAATATAAAACGTATTGATGGAAACTTAGAAATTGATTATGGCGAAGCAACAGCAGGTTTTGACGCACACTGT